GTACTTTAGACACACACTTTGTATATAAGAGCCCTGCTATGCATGTGCTCCAGTCAGTCCTGTTTTTGCTTTTGTAATAAACACTTTGTTTACCTTAACCTCGTTGGTTAGTGTCTCGGTCACCCCGTGCTGTGACCCGAGACCGCCCTGAGGGCTCCACAAGGACCTGGACTCTGGACTCACGCCGTGAAGGCTCAAGTATTGTTGGACAGGTATCGGTACTTGCGGCTACCCCTAGCGCTCTACCACGCGGTCCCCCATCTTTACCCCTGTTTTCACAATATGTTACATTTCAACATTACATTAATAATTATAATAATATTTATAATTATAATAAAATTGCACAGCATAACGATTACCTCAATTAATTCAAATTATCGTGTAACTTATTGTTTGCACTGATATATATATTTTGGTAATATCATTTTTAAATTAAATTAGTTTACGGCAAACATATAATAATAATAACATGTAAAATTATCATGTATACAAGTCTTACAATTTTATTTACAAATGCAATTTTAGTGTATTTTACATAGTTCACACATCAATATTGTACATCTATTTGAAATGTAATTATTATTTTTTAATAACAGAATTAGTGAAGCATTCTTAAATTAAATATTTGACTGTCAACATGAAACTGGAAATTATTATTTTGCATGCGTATATTAAATACTGTTTTATTATGATAATAATGTTTTATGTTTTGAAACATTTGTTGAATGAAATTACTGAATGCTAAAACATTAAATCCAAACCAGAGGCCAAGTACACTGGCCAATAGACATAGGTATTCCTCCATGGACAATTTTAGATGTATCTCATACACTATAGGATTTTCAGCTGGATATTCTACAAGCACAATAGAATAATTGTTATAATTATGAAATTTTTTAACTTGATAACTTATTGTAGAATAATAAAAATAATTTTGGCAATTCACATGACCGTAGCATTTTTTATTGCATGGTATCTGATATTTGTTACTATAATTAGTAAAATATCTAGCAAAGTGCAATTTATTATTGTAAAGATCATAAGTTAAATATGCTGGCAATTGTACGGAATATTCCCGGTAACCTTCACTAATAATACACTCGCTGACACATTCTGAGCGTGTTTTACCATTATGACACTGAATTTGATGATGGTCACGCTTAACGTTTACTTCGTGATATTTCAAGCTAATAAATTGCGCAGCACTCAAATTAAGGTAGAGGAATCCACGGGTCAACGGTTTGTAGAAACGTTCTCGGCGCGAGTGAGCATGTAAAAATAGTTCATTAGTTGCACTTATAATCGGCTTGCTAATTATAATTCTAAGTATATATGGACTTCTGGTTCCACGTGCTAGATTTCTATATAATTTATACCGTGTGTCCGACTCGTTGTACCATTGAGTAAATATTGAAACACAATATCCCTGGACATTAATGGACACCCTGTAGGGCACTAGTTCGCTGCATTTTTGCAATGATACATTAGTTTTATCACTTGTTATGATATTACAATAAAAATACTGTTCAATAGACTCCATGTGATTAAATTGTTGACCAATTGATAAATTATTGAATTTAGCATAATCAAAAATTGTTTCATTATTGTTGAGAATAGAGTACTTTTTTCTAATATATGATTTTATTAGAAATTCTTTATAAAAACAGACTGTAATTCCGGGCAATGAAAACGGTATGTCTTCGCCGTATATGACATTAGTTGTGGTTTCGTATGAAAAGTATAATAAACTTATTTTATACGTTTGATACACACATCCCATCAAACAAATCACGTATGATATTATCTTAAATATATATTTTGTAATCATTATTGTTAGATAATAAACTATTATTTATATATAAAGTTAATTAATATATTTTTAGTTAAATGAACATATAGTTGAATTTTATAAATTTCTTTATTTTTACTTTTTTTTATTAACAATATCTATAATAATAAGCAAAAATATTTTATGTTTTATTTAAATATTCAGTATTTGGTCATAATTAACTATGAATAGTAACTAAGCAATTATATTTATTTTATATTTGTAAATAGAGATAATATTGAAAGACATTGTAACATTTCTTAACTAATATTTTATTTATAAATTATAGCTTGTTGATACAACTTATATACAATTATATGTACCTACTTGTCGTATTTGAATCAATTTAATGCGATAAAAATAATTTAATATATAATTCATAACATTAATAAATATTTGATGATTTGAATTAAATCTCATTAAATAGCATTAGTTATTATTGTTTATTGTTATAAACATGGTTAACACAGCGATGCTATACGTTAACTACAATTCTGGGAATGCACCAAAGATTTTGACATTTTCAATACGTTTGTTATTGTTGTTTGCTGTTATTGTACTTTCACTATTGTTATTTTGAAAATTTTAAATGTTTTTTACAATAATTAGTTCTATTAATCATATCAGATTCATTTAGAAATTCATTATTTAACTGAATAGGTATACTAATGTGCCATTCTTAAATTATTTAAACGATTGTTGTAAGTAACTTTAATATTATTTACTTGTGTACTAATACTAATGCTATTATCATTAATGTAAAAATTTTTCAAACGCTGAACCAAATGTTGACATAAATTACCAAAAGCTAATACATTTATACCAAACCATAGACTTAATATACTGGCCAATAGACATAAATATTATTCCATGGTCATTTTTAAATGCATTTCATAGACTATAGTGTCAGACTTTTCATAGACTCAGAGGGGTGTTCAACAAAGACCAGGGAGTTATTGCCATAGTAACTGACTTTTTCAATCTGAGAACTTATTGTAGCGTGATAAAAATATTCATCACAATTTACGTGCCTATCGCAATGAGCATGGCATTTTATATGATAATTGTTACCATCGTCAGTTAAAATTTGACGATCAATAAACTTTAATTGGTGATTGGTTAAATTGTATGTCAAATATGTCGGTAATATGTCAGTAGAAATATTCCCTAACCCGACATTGACTCATACATTCTGTGTGTGTTATGCTATTACTGCATAACATGTGACGGCTATCACGTTTGATAATAACCTCTCGGTATTTAATGTTAAACTGATTAACATCGCGCAAATTCAGATCAATGTGACCTCTAGTGTATGAATTGTAGAGGTGTTCACGGCGGGAATGAATATGCAAAATCATTATGTTATTATTTATTAAAGTGCAGTTGGTGATTTCTATAATAAATAAATACGGATTTTTACCACCACCGGTTACCACCTTGTTTGGTATGTAACGGGTGTCTGACTGGCCCTCCCATTAGCTAAATATCGTCACACAATAACGTTGGGCATCGATTGACATTCTGTATGGCGCGTAGTCGCTACAATTTGACCATGTTGATCTATCGTAATTATTTTTAACACCTGGTTCGTACATGTGGCAACTCATGTAGACATTAATTGACACCATGTAATTCAATTGTTGTGCGATTGATAAGTTATTAAATTTGTCATAGTCCATGAATGTGATATTTTCATATATTGTATTAAATTGATCCCTGATATTGGATTTTAATAAATATTCTTTGTAAAAACAAATTGTAATTCCGGGCAACAAAAGGGTCATATGTTGTTCATATCGGACATTAGTTGTGGTTTCGTATGAAAAGTATAATAAACTTATTTTATACGTTTGATACACACATCCCATCAAACAAAATAATTGCAGCAGTAATTGATAAGATTGCTTAATTATTTTATTCATTGTTACATTTTTTGTTCATACTGATTAAATTATTAAATATCTATTTATGTTTATAAATTTATTATTTTATATTAATATTATTATTTTATGGTACAATAACTATTAGGGTGACCAAACGTCCTCCCCCGGGAGGACAGTCCTCCCCTGGACCATTTCTGGCACCGTACTCCCGAGATAATTTTAGTAATTATTCAAATATTTGCAATACAAATGATTAAATAACATTCATTTTTCTATTAAGTGCTATAATATAGCAATGGTAATAGTATAACTATAATTTTATACACTAAAACATAGCGTCCTCCCCATGTCCTCCCCAGATTTGGAGATTTTCTCATTTTGTCTTCCCTTTGGCCAAAATTTTATGGTCAGCCTAATAACTATGCATTATTTGTTAATTTAAATAAACTACATGTATATATTCACTTTATATATTAACTTTATATTTTGCAAGAAAAATAAATTCTGAATTCTATTTTTATTTATATAAAATTATCGCAGTTAATATAATAACATATTACATTTGCATTTACCTAGTAAATTATTAAAAAGTATACGTGTAAGCATAAGAATATAAATGTAATGTCAAATGTTAAATCAATAAAAGTTAAATATGTAAAACATATTTCATAAACTTTATGTATGCTATTGTGTTTATTTCAATCTTTCTCAATCTTTGTTTAGTTATTTACTAATAGTTCCAGATTTTATAAACTCTAATTTTAGTCTTTTTATTAAAATTAATCTATAACTATTTAAACATAACTTTTGTATTTATAATCATAATCAATCAAACATTATTTTTCTAATATAATAAAATGCCATAATCATTATTAGAAAATATCAATAGGAAAATATTTGTCCTGTTTGATTGTTGTTAATGTATTTAATTCATAATTTTGAACTAATAATCTATAATATAATCGTTATCAATTTATATAATACAATTGATATTAAATTAATAAGTCAAATAAAACAAATTTTTAAACATGTAGTCAACTAATGCTAATCAATCATTAAATGATAAAACTTTTTTACAACTAAACTACATTTAAAGTTACATGATTGCTACACTACCGCAAAACTTAATGTATACTCTTCTAAAAATACACAAGGTTGTTAATAAATATTTCTCTATATAGACGTGTCAAATAAGATAAAGCATGCGTCCTTACAAAAGTTTGTTGATAACACTAACACACATCACATAAAAGTATTAGTTAGGCACTCTGTATTACAAAAAGCATATCACCATCAAGGTTGATGTAATAATTAATTAATATTACGATAACCATATTTGGTGGTGATAAGTAAAAAGTTGTTATATTTACAGTATATAAATGTCTACATTGATTTAGGCTTAAAATATCAATCACAGTTTGATTGAACTGGATTAAATATTTGTTACCACCGATTAAATAACCTAATTCTATTGGATCAATAAATAGGTAATATACGTGTGTATAAATCAATGCCACTATATATAAATACTAAAATTTTCATCCATTTATATAAAGTATTATTAAATTATTATAATAATTATTAAACATAATTAATAATAAATATTAATTAACATGAATTTAATAACAGTATTACTATTGACAGCATTAGCAGTAATGGCAGCAAACGGTGACTTTGATATCGATCACTACAAAGCGGTCGGGAAGTCCCGAGACTTTACCGGAAAAGTAGTTCTGGTGACCGGTTCCTCGTCCGGCATCGGAGAGGGTATTGTTAAGCTGTTCTCACTATTGGGTGCCAGTGTTGTGGTCAATGGCAGACACGCCGATACTGTCGCCAAAGTGGCCAAAGTATGCCAGAAGTGGTCGCCGAAACAATTAAAGGTAAACTAATTAATAAGGTTAAATATAATTAAACTTTTAATGCAATTTAATAAACGCAATTCAGTAAATAAGTCCAAAGTATAAAGTTTATACTATAAACATTATGTACAAAACATTATGTGTAAAACTCTACATTTATTGTATTATAAATCTATTTATATTTTTCACTTATAATTTATTTAGCAAGCTAAGAGTGAAACATTTATAAATATAATACTATGCTCATATAATTTTATTTGAGTTTAATTTATAATGTTATCTATTTGAATTAAACAAATAAACTTTGTTAATGTTATATTCAGCCCCTGGAAGTGGTGGCAGATGTGGGCAAACCTGAAGATGTAGAGCGTTTAATAAAAACCACGATCGAACATTTTGGCAAACTAGACGTATTGGTAAACAACGCCGGCCCCTACACCACAACCAACATCACCCAGACCGATTTGCTGCCCATATGGGATGAGACATTCTCGGTCAATTTAAGAGCAATAGTACAGTTGACACAACTTGCTGTACCCCATCTGGAAAAGACCAACGGATCCATTGTCAACATATTGGCCGACGAGGCCATGCAACCTGTAAGAATTAATTTATCAAGCTATTTCAATAATGTCTTTATTAATTATTATGTGTACTAAACATCTAGATAAAAATTAGTCTGGCATACTCGACAGCGAAGGCTGGTCTGGACATGTTGACAAAAATTCTAGCCCTGGAATTAGGCCCAAAACACATCCGGGTTAATAATGTTGCGTAAGTTTTATAATTAAATAGTTTGTATTTTATTTATTCTAATATATTATACGGACAATTTTTAAACAGGCCTGGTCAAATTCAAATCAACGAACACCCGAATCCATTTCAAATGTACGGCGCTAAGATTACCCCGCTGGGTAGACTAGGTCAACCATTGGACATTGCTAAATCTGTAGCATTCTTGTCATCCACTGACGCAGAGTTCATCACCGGTATAACCCTGATCACTGATGGTGGTATATTGGGCAATATGGGTGCCATGAACGTATTTACTGGTTAACAATCTTATCACGGAAGTTATATTTTTGAATTGTTAATATTAAATACAAAAACTTTATATTAATAACAAATATTTCTAAATAATTTGATTAATAAATAAATCATTAAAATTTAATTTGCATAAATTATTGTTGTAAAATTATGATGTGTGCAGCATGCGCATATTATAAACCTTTGTATTGTGATTAATATTAGCAATTTGTACATTAATTTGTTGTTTTGTTTTATTGTTATTAACAATTAAATAGTAACGCTGTAAGCGGTATAACAATTGGGCGCACGTTTTTATAGAAACCAATACATTAAATCCAAACCATAGACCAACAATACTGGCCACTAAGCATAGATATTCTTCCATGGTCATTTTTAGGCTAATCTCGTACACTGTAGGGTATACAATGGGGTATTCAACATATATTAATGACATATTATTTGCTATGTATTGATTGTTTTTAAGTTCTGTATTAATTTTCAAATAGTAATAGTATTGAACGCAATCTACTGTACGATTGCATTCACGGGAACATTTTGTGTCATATTTATTGATACGATTAATATTAACACGATTGATGCTAAATTTATTAATTTTGTAAAACGTAGCTCGTGTATTATTTAACGGCAAATATTGTAGGTAATCATTATTTAGAGTTTGATTATGATCACGCTGAAATCGGCTCATTACGCACTCGGTAAAGCATTCCAACCTGGTACGGCCATCATTTGAGCATGGTAAATGATTAACATTTTTAAACTGTACAATCACCTCCTGGTAAGAGACATAATACTTATCTCTATTATTAAGATTAATATACAGGGAACCAGGTTTAGCCGAGTCGTAGAGGTGTTCGCAACGCGCATGCGCGTGTATGGCCAGTATATTATTTGTAATCATGGTTAGGTGGTTGACATACAGGGCTAATAAAAATGAACCACTTTGACGGCTACCAAGTCCTATATGACGTATATATGTGGTGTCCGACTGGTTGTCCCATTGGGTAAACATTGATTGGCAATAACGATAGGAACCGATAGAGTACTTGTATTCGGTGGTATGATTACAGGCTATTTTAGTATTGCCAAGTGAGCATGATAGATATTTATCAATTGGCTCCATGTAATTTAATTGTTCGCCTAGCGATAACTTATTGAATTTACTGTAATTCAATTGTGTGTGCTTGTTGTTTATAATGGTAAAATTATTACGTATGCTAGCTTTTAATAGTAGCGATTTGTAGAAACATACTGTAATACCGGGTAATGATAACTGTTTTTGCGGTCCGTATATGACATTAGTTGTGGTTTCGTATGAAAAGTATAATAAACTTATTTTATACGTTTGATAAACACATCCCATCAAACATAGTATACTTATTACTAGTTTATAGCTGTGTTTTAGTATATTGTTCATGGTTTGTAATTAAATTAATAATTATAAAGATACAGTAAATACTGTATAATGATTTTTTTTATCGGAACTTACATATTGCTTAAATTATTTAAATAACATTTAATGTTATAATTTTTAATTATAATAAAGTATTTTACTTTAATATAAATACTACAATATGACATTTATTATATTTGTAATATTGATCAAGTCAATAAACATACTAAATCATTTATTTGTTGCATGTGACAATCATTAATGTAAGTAAAATAAATAACTGCAAATATATTTCTTTATAAAAAATTTATAATGATATAAATTAATATTTCAATAAATATATTAATTAATTTCATATAGTATAAATATATTTATAGCAATTAAATTATAAATTGTTAATTATATAGATTGATTAATAATTGTGACTATCTTTATAATAATTATAATTTAATTTATTTAGTTAACAAATCAAGAGTGTTTAAATTTTTAGCTCTAAACTAAGCATCATTATATGATTCTACGCCTAGGCGTAAATTTTAAACACTCATGATTATAATTCTTACAAAATAATTGTAATAAATATAAGTAATTATCAGACATAACGCACATTAAACGAATAATTATTATTTTCTTTAAGAATATATGCTAATTATTAATGTACTACTTTTAAAAATAACAATTAACTTAAAATTAATTTTTATCCATAATGAATATTATCACATACAAAATGTTTTTATCAGCAATTATTTTATTACATTGCACTTAATTTACTGTAAGAATAAAAAATATACTTTATATATATGAAAATAAATTTAGACCAGCAGATAATATAAAGTGGATTACTTTACATTATTATTCTAGTTTGTAATTTAATAAAATAATTACAATAAAAATGGATAAAAAGTTATTAGCAATTAATGAATGGATTTATTTAATCGCATGCAAAAACTATAGAAACGGTTTTGCAAAATATAGTCAAAGTTTTCAAAATCGGAACAAAACTGTTACTAATTTATTAAATGCATTAATAATTATTGAAATACTGAAAACATTGCTATCGCTATACATATCTGACGAGTGGTTCGCTATAATTACCGGCGATTTTGCATATTATTGGCGTTTTAAATACTATTTCAAATATTTTGTACTTAATTGTTATATCTATTGTTTTATTTTTAAAGTTATATCGCACTGCACCCTATCATATATAAAACGAGTAACAATTATTAATATTAATAACATTAATGGAGTAAAAATTAATAAATTCCGAACAAAGGCAATAAATTTAGTATATAATTTTACCATATTAAGTTTTTTCATTATTACATTTTTTATGTCATTTATAACATTATATACAACCAACTTATCTACATTATATTTATTAACAATAGGACTGTTATGGAGCCTAATATTTAGCATAAATTTTGCTTATATGTGTGTCTCAATGCTTTTTCACTACCCATTCATGACTTTATTATGCTTTTTATCTAGATTTGAATTAGACAAAATTAATTTAAAAATTATTATGTTGCTCACTGATCACAGCACTTTTATAACCAATTTAAGCTTGTATAAAATGTTGTATCACATACATAATAATCTTGTTACAATCCAATTGTTGAATGGTGCATTTTGTATGACATTGTTAGCATTGTGGTTTTTAGCTGCAAAAGTAATAGCTATATTAATTGCCATGATGGTTGAGTTTGGGGATTATATGAATTCACTTATCAAACTAATATTTTACTTGTTTATTCTTATTACATTGGCAATCATAACTATTTTACTTTTATTTACCGGCCGAGTTAATACTCTAGCCAAAAGGCTAAATGTGTTACTATTTTATTTATATGCATTTATATCAAAAAATAATAATAGATATCACATTAATTCAATAATGAAACTTAAAGTTAGTATTTATTAATATAGAATATTTTACAATGATAATTTTTATTTTAATAGTTGCAGACATTCATAATGAGAATATCTGAAAGTAAAATTGGTTTTCATTGTTGGATATTATTTATTATTAATCAATTCACATATTATGAGGTAAGTTTGTTTAAGTGTATAAAGTATTTTATCTTGTATATGTTAATTTATTATTTGTCATTTTATTATTTAATAGTTCATAATTATAACCAGCGCTTTAACAATGAAGTTGTTGGGAATAGCATTTAAATATTAATAACTTTAGTTGAAAAATACCTTTATAATTTAATAACCAAGCCATATTAAAAACAACT